CGTACACCAATTACAAAGCGGAGAGGTTATCCCGCCTAACTGTATCCCAGTTTCTTCTACGTTCGAATGAAATTCTCGAGAAACTACTTCCTGATTCGGCTGGCTACCACCATCTGACCGAGCGAAAATCTTGCGGAGCGGCGAGGAACGAAAACGATCCTCCTAGGGATTCGACTCGGCCACGCAATCCCTGAAACGGGAGAAAACGAGATCTACTCTACCGCTAGGATGGAAGAGTGATGGGAGAGGGGGAGGAAGAAAATGGGCGTCATTTCCGATAATATTATGAAAAGGGCGAAGGGAGAAAACGTTTTAACGTTTGATTTAATTCAAGAACGAAGATTCGTTTCGGAGAAGGGGATGAAAAATTAACGTCCCTCCTTTCGTTTCGCGATGGAAATTCTGCCAAAATTTCCTTCCGACCGAGCGACGAGAACCAAATAGTTTCCATTCCAAAATGTTTGCGTACCACGGTGACCACGGGTGAACGCGCTTCGAAAACGCTTGAACCGGATCCCCAACTTCGAACTCGAAGTCGAGGCGAGAATTGCTCTGCGAAAATCCGTCAAACTCTAGTTTCTCCCTCCCATTATTTTCTCGACTCGATCGAAACATACTTTTCCAAATTTTCCTTTCCTTTATTCGATAAATATTCGAACGAACGAAGAAAATCGAACCGAAATAGAACGAATTCGATGTCGAGATATTTTTTTACTCGAAAGCGGAGAGAGAGAGAGAGAGAGAGAGAGAGAGAGAGAGAGAGAGAGAGAGAGAGAGAGAGAGAGAGAGAGAGAGAGAGAGAGAGAGAGAGAGAGAGAGAGAGAGAGAGAGAAGGAAAAAAGGTAAAAAAAAAAGGAAGCGCAAAAAGTGATCGAGACAAAGTCGACTTTCGACTTCCGTTTTCCGGGACCAAGGTAGTCAAGGTCATCTCCGTTCGTCCTCATCGAATTGCCCCACTTATCGCCACCGATTGCATAATCTCCCGCGTTACCTCCTCTGGCAAAACTAATTTATTACTCAACGATCATCTCCGCTCGTCCGATCGACTATCGCGGGTGGAATGAGGATGTCCTCTATACCCTTCCCTCCTTCGCCCCTATCCCCTTTTTCGATTATGCAAAAGAACGCGTTTTTATTAAACATCGTACGCATCCACCGATACCGTTCAAAGAGGGAGATTGCCCTCGACGATCAATTTCCAGATTACTTTTTTTCCAGGCCACTATTTCGTTCTATATTATATATAATATTATTATATATATATATATATATAGTTGTTATAGAATTTAAAGTTCATTGAAATTTTATATGTGATTTTATTATTGAATGTTGGCAACATCACTATTTCATAATTGGTAGCTATTTGTTTCTCTTCGATATACGTACTTCAAATGTTTTGTAAACAGATACGCGCAATCACGTATAATTAAATATATTCATTCAGTTAAACCCGTATATTTTATTTATTGTTTTCACTGCCCAGTCAACAATAATTATTAAATATATATTATTATTATATATATATTTATTTATATTTATATATATATTTATTATTATTATATATTATATATATAATAACTATATATGAATTATATACGAACGCGTTTCGAAAATGTTTGAACCCAACTTCGAACTGAGTCGAAGCAAGAATTTTTGCGAAAATCCGTCAAATTCGTGTCGAGTCTCCCTCCCATTATTTTCTCGATTCGATCGAAACATACTTTTCCAAATCTTCCTTTCCTTTATTCGAAAACGATATAATATTCGAACGAACGAAAAAAATCGANAGGAACGCGTAATTAAAGAAACTGGGTTGATTTTGTTTAAACGATAATATTACGAGTGGCGATTAAACGCGAAAACTAACCCTTGTTCGATTGTATTGATAAAAGATGAAGTATAATCGTTGGAATTTTAGAACGTGATAAGATTGTACAAATTATTAGTAATTTTATAGTCCGTTAAGTATAAATGAAATATTTATATTAATCTGTCTTTTTAACTCGGGATTTCCAGGTTTAACCCTTTCCATTGTCAAGACCTCTCTTACATGTGCTATTTGGATGAAAAAAAAGAAACACGATGATCATAAGTTTCATAAGTTTATAAAAATTTTCCAGTGAATGTATTTTTCCATATTGTGTATGTGATTACGTGATCACTAATTTAATTACAATTCAGAAATAAAAATTTAATTTTTTTATTAATATTTAATTAAATAATATTCTTAATTAAATAATATTATTTTTTTTCTATCGAATTATAATATGCATCTTCCGTCCCGTATTTTTATGACGATCGAGAGATTCGTTCGTGAAAATAATAAAGGATTTAAGGATAGGAAGGATTAATTGGTTGAACGGGAATGCAATTAATCCGTAATTAAAAATCAAGAATTTCGAACAATGGCAAATTTGTTTCGTCCGCCAAGATTTATTTCGCATTTAATCTTTCTAATTTCTCATTGTCAGATCGTGTCTGATCAAACGTGAACAAACTATCACTTGCCAATTAAGATCAAGCAGGAATTTTATTGGAGCGATATCCGAGTTTAAACGAAGATTTATCGAGAAAAATTGTAACCGAAGTAGAAAGAACACGGAGACGATTTTCTTTGACGATCGAATCGATCATATATACTTGTTTGACCAGTCGGATAAAATTGTTTCCACGCTGCAAGATACAAGAATCTATCAGATTACACGGTTAAATAATCGAAAATAAGGAGATTGGACGCAAGGATTATCGGTTGCTCGATTGATAAAAGATATCGTGTCCAAAATCGATAAAAAAAAAAAAAAATGAGAATTTTCCAAACTATATCCACTATACTTTTATCGAAGTTTTTAATAAACGAATTCGTTCTCCCTTTCCCCTATCGTTCTTATCAATGTCCAAATACGCCCAATGGCGTACGTACAGGATCTCTACAATTTATTCCCTAAAAGAACCGAATTTCTACGAATGCATCCTCCATCCAACGTCCTTTTTTGCGCTTCCACTCTCTTTTCGGACTCGAAACCAGTTTTTTTTCTCTCTCTCTTTCTCTATTCTTGAACAATTGTCTGGAAGAAAGAAGCATCGAAATACGATCCTGGCCGAACTTGCTTCTTTTCAGACTCATATTTATTCAACAGGTTAAACGGAACGCGAGCACAAAAGTGTTTACACTTGTTGAATAAGAGACGAAATTAGCGTGCCATTTATTTCCCGCTTTTATTCGCTTGTCTCCCTTTCTTTGTTTATATACCGTTTCTGGTAATTTCTTATTTGCAAGCGGTAAGTGACGTAAATTGGCGTTACGATTACAGGAAAGAAGATTTTTATTAAAATTTCCTTCCTTCGAAAGATAGAAGATTTTTTTATAAGGAGAGAAAAAAAAAATTTCAATCAAAAGATTAACGCGATTTTTATTCTCTCCAATTTTTCGTCCTCTCTTTTCGAAGATGGCGAACAAGCGTACGATGGATCGAGTTAAAATTAAACGTAGCAACGAATCGAATCCAATGAACCGACGTCTCTTTCCTTAGATCCCAAATTACGAAATCAATCAAATGAGGAAGGAAGGCGTATCTTTCCAAGAGAATATAATTCTTGGCCCCATCGCCAAATATCTCTCCCACGTTTAATTAAACCACGATACGCTCCGGAAATTCTAATAACATCCAATAAATCACAGAGATACCGAAACGAAAGATGAATGACTAATCCTACTAACTAACCATCTTACGAGAAATCATTAATTCCTGCACGACCGAGATAACGTAAATGAGAAATATAGAGCGTGTATATTTTAACTGCCAACAAATTAATTAATCAATCCTCGACGCGAAATTCGTATTTATATTCGAGGGAACGAACAAATTTTGAATACGCGGCATTCGACACTTCACTTGTCGTAAAATCAAATTTCTACGATTTCTGAGATAAAAATTTGAAAGGACTGCACGAGTATGTATACTTCGTTCAAAATTAAAGAAGATTATTTTGATCGTAAATTTCGTCGATGACCTATTTCACCTAGAACTGTTTACCGGTTTCTCATTTCGTGCTACGAGCGCAAACAAGCGACAAACTTCTGTAACTATCTCTGATGTAATTCGGAAACTAGTCGAACCGGAGACGAATTATTTTCCAGAAATAATTTCGTGATCATCGACAATTTGACGACGCGACAAACATTTCCGTGTTACATTTCTACTCTCTGTACGTACATAAATAATACGTAGTAATCCCATCGAGTCAAAGGCCATTATTTAAAAAATGTTCCTTTTCCGGAATATATGAGCCAACAGAAAGAGAATTTGGGTCACGAAATATAGGGCGCAGCCTTAATCTATACACGAAAATATAGATACATATCCATTAACCTCGTTTACGAGAAAATTTCAGAATTTGTTTAAATTGTCGTAAATCGATAATTTCGTTAGAAAGATAATGAATCGTGTTACGTTGTAAAAAGATAGTGTATGAAGAAACATTCGATCCTAATTCAATTCGATTGATTCAAATTCAACAATTCAATTTGATTTGATTCAAATATAAAAAAGTATAAAGTAAAATGATATTTAGAAAGTGATATTTAATAAAAACACGAAGCTAACATCTTACATTTTATATTTCAGATTCAAATAGATAGAAATACGTTAAGATACATTGTACAAACAAAACGATATTCAACTATAAGATTATGCTGCGATTATATTCGAATAAAGAATGAAAAAAACGTAACCTAAAAATCAAAAATTTCGCTTTTACCGAATGCAATACGTGCGTTATCATTTTTGAAATTAATTTGATAATTGAATAAATTTTTTTTTAACGATTTCAAGAAACAAAGTTCAAAGGATTGTTTGCTTAAATATAACAACAATCGAGTGTAGTGCGCGAGCGCGGTTACCCAGAATGAGCCCCCGAAGGATGCACTGACCCGGACAATTTCGGAGCTAGCTTCCCCTACCAACATGAAACACGACTACTGTTGATCGAAATCGGCCTACCTGTGGATCGCGATTCGTGGCTCCGGCGACGTGGTTTGCCCCCGGCATCCGAGGGCTGTCGGAACCTTGAGAAGGTCGCAGGAAGACAGATGATGCCCATATTCGCGGCAATTCCAGGTGTAACTGGCACGATCATCCTCTTTTACGGATTGCTGCCTCCTGCCACTGGTATTGTCACCTGCACCACCCTCGGAGAGATGGCGAATCAGGGGACGACGCATCGCATAAGGTTATGTTTCACCGGCACATTCGAAACACCGCCGCGCAAAATTAACCGATATCTCCGATAATTATTTCTATTCGAACGAATCGGCAAATATTGTCTGTATACAATAACAATCTCGATATAATTCGACCGACGAATCGTGGAGAAAAAGAAATCCGTGACAAGTTCTGTCAAAGTTTTGCGATCGCACGATCGTTTCGTTCGATCGCTATACGTCTATCACGCTCATATTCCAGAACGACGTAATCATGGCACGAGTTCTCGCGAGACTATGTACGTGCTTCTTGCGCGAGTGTTTACGACCATCCACCCCCCACCCTCTTTCCCTACCACTATTTGTCTTACCTGCCACCCACAGTCCCGAACCGTACCGAACATTCAATGTGATTGGCCGGTAAGGTGGGTAGCTTCGGGGGTTGTTTATCGGAGTTTCGTTTTATCGACTTCTTTCCGTAGATGTCGTTATTGTCTTTCGTCTTGAATTTTCCAAACAATTTTTACTGCCATTATTTAATCACAGACGAGATATAGAATAGATTTAACATTTAATGGAACTTTGTGTTCTGAAATACTATATAATCGCGCAAAAAATTAGAATGCTCTTTATAATTTAGAGCGTAAGATTTAATATAAGAATTATATTTAATTTAATCACAAAAGTTTATAAAATCTTTTTATAAATCATCATCATACGTTATATTATTGAATTATATTCAATAATTGATCTTTTTTACGAATAACTTTGTTACGAATAACAGAAAATAAAATTAATCGGATATCGAAGTCTTTCGAGCGTATAAATTTTGAAGAAGTATAGATAAAGAAAGGAAACAATAGGAGAAGGATAGAAATTATATAAAAATATTGAAATTAGCGCCATCTTCAGAATGCCGCAAAAGAAATACACGTAGAAATGAACTATCAGCGCCATCTCTCGATCTTTGAGATCATCACCCAAAAAATAGCGTCAGTAGTTAAATCTTACTCTATAATTATCTTGCCGCCATCTTCTATATGTGTTTCATTTGCGGCACTCTGAAGATGGCGCTGATTTCAATATTTTTATCCCATGTCCGTCCTTCTCCCACTATTTCCTCTTCTTGTCTATACGTGCTTTTGGCGCGTGACACGTAGAAGGTACGAGATGTCAATTAAGTAAACTTTTTATTATTTCTCTTTCAAAACTACAAAATGTGTCTTTTATATAAAAAATATAAATATTACATTCTCGACTTTACAATGTATTTTTAGAATGATGACCTCGCAAATCATATTATATATCTAATATATAACCCGAGTGTCTTGACAAAAGACAACGCTCGATGAAATTTAAAACGATCATTTATAATTTTAAATTGAAATTTAGTTTTGATTCCAACCATTGCTAACCATTATAATATTATTTTAAGCCGAATCGGTAAAGTTGAAAATGACGCTAAAATGATAAAAGAGTCCTCCGAGGTTTAGGACAAAAAGAATGCATCGATTGCGTAGACAAATTCTGTACCTCGTTTTTGATTTAATTTACCAATCACATTCTAATTACACTATTCGAATCGTTAAACAATTATTCTATTTTCTGTAATGCGAATATCTATTTCAAAATAAATTAATTTTTTAATATTCAATTACAAAAATAAAAATTATTTTAAATTTAAATTTAAATATTCGAATTTTTAAACTCTTCCTTGAAGCAAAAATTCTATGACGAAAGTACGAAATAATCAACTTTGATAACTGAACTCATATCCGGTATAACAGAATTCACGACCTACTTTACAAATACTGAATAGTGAAAAAAATTACACCGATAACGTATTATTATAATTAGATTTACATCGTTTTGTTCAACAAAATTAATATTGTTCGAATATTATTAAAGCATTAATATTCATTCGTCTTAGATGTAGTGTGTTAATGTAGTGTGTATTTATGACATTTACGTCATAGGTTTAAATTAAATATGTACGTACTTCAATATTATATAAGCACTTTTCTAACAGTAATTGATAGGTATGATGCAATACCATATCTTATTATTTTTTTCTTTTTTTATATATACTATTCATTTTTTACGAATATACGAGATTAGAATAATCATTCGCATACATATTTCAATCAATATATTTCAATATATTTATAATCAATCATATTTCAAAATAATAAATTTCAATTACAAGCTTAGAAAAATATTAAAAATAAACTTTATCATCTTATCTTAAATTATATCGAATAATTAGTGTTTGTAATAAGCGTAGATTTATTTTTAGTATTTATGTTCTTTCTTTTTTTTTTTTTTGCACGTATTATTATAATTTTTTAAAATATAATAATAATTTAATTGTACCGATATTATTATCTTTTATGAAAACAAATTTCATGAAATTTTCTATCTTATCTTATATCTTACGCCTATCTTATAAATTTTACGAAAAAAATATTTCATATTATCTTTCTCTCGAATAATCAAATTAATGTGTTTTAAAATATATCTATTTTGCATAAAAAATAATCATGTTTCGTAATTTATCACGTGTAAAATTTAGAATAACAAAAAAAAAAAAAAAAAAAAAAAAGGAAAAAAAAGAAAAGCTTCAATTGAATGTGTTACATAAAGAAAATGATCCTTGAGAGAGCTGATATACGAGATCATTGATGTGCATAAACTTGCAAATTTCAATCATCGTTGTACATGAACAAATTGACAACCTCAATGACTCGTATTCGAGAAAGTTATACGTTGAATCACAACTTTAAATCGAAACTCTTTAACAACTCTTTGAATGGGTTCCGTTAAAAATTAATATTACTAACCACTTTAACGAACATTCTATTCCCTCTCTATAATACTCGACGTAAAAACCTCGTAAAGAAACATATCTATTATTAACCTACAACAAGTGTGACTCACTTTCATTTATTATTTTTTTTTTTTTTTTTGCTTCCGTGTATTCCACAAATGGCTTGAATAGCTGTTACTCGATTACATCTTCTTTCAATAATTTAATCCGAAGCAAATACGCGATTAGTGGAAAGGAAGAGAAGAGGAACGATTTAATTTTCTATCGAAGATAACTAAAAGAAAAGAGAGAGAGAAAAAAAAAAAATTACCAAGGACGCGAGGTAAAGCATGTTTCATAAAGCAACGATATTAATCTATAGATAGTTACTAATTATACTCTTAAAGAACGAGTTCTGTACTATGTTGGTTGGTTATATGTATATGAATCAATAAACACTATCGTTTGACAGAACAACGTTTTTATTATTCAAAGATAAACGTACTTCTAAAAATTCTGGTCGCAGTTCCACCACAGTTTCACAGTAACGGAGGAGATCTTTTTCCGGGATGCTCGTATACGATTGGCGCATAAAACAGTGAATCGCGCGTTAAAACGAATATTGAAATTTATTTGTCGATTTGCATAGTCATAAAATATATCGATCGATATTAATAACATTGATTGAAGATTTTTCTTAACGATCGCGATGATAATAAATGGGGGAGGGAGGGGAGAGGGGGAGGGGGAATGAAATCGGATGCAGATTCGTGATTCGTAGATACCTGAAGCGCGCGCGCGATAAGTAACATTTTAAAAGAGAAAATAAATGCGAAGAAAGAAATCGAGTCGAATTAATTTCGAAATACATTTTTTCGCCTCTTCGACACGATGCGATATTTTATAAATTTATAAACCAAACCATCGATTCGGGAAAACAATATTCGATTATTCGTGTCCGTACAAAAATATTGAACGTTTGTTAAATTGTCGTCATCCATGAAACGGATCGATATTGAAGAAAGGGGAAGAGAGAGAGAAAGAGAGAGAGAGAGCGAAAAGGTAAGTAAAAAAAAAAAAAAAAAGAAAGAAAAAGAAAAGGAGGAATAAAAGGACGAGTTAAAATAAAGCAACGGAATAGAATTGGAATACAGTTGTAAACGTAGCACCACGTTATATTCTTATCGCTATTCACGTACAAGCTAAAAAACCGTATTTACTATGGCAGGTAATGGTACACGCGTGCACATGTAACCCGTCTCCAAATGCGTGACAACTGAATAAATGAAGGAAAAAGAAAGGAACAGAACGAGAGAGGATAGGACTTGGAATGAACGATGAGCGACGTGTCGCGACGAATTACTTCCGATTTCGAAGCTTACGCGCTAATTAATGCCTCTTAAACGACCAATTGATTAACTGGAACCCGGGACTGCGCTCTACTGCGCATGCGTAACGATGCACACGCGTGTATACACGCACTTACAGAAACGTTTACCGGTATGCGCACATATATATATATATGTATGTATGTATATATATATGTGTGTGTAACTTCGTCTCTACGTATAAGTAGGCGATACGTAGCCAGTACGACGCCCGTTGCTTTTTTTATCGCGTAACGCACTATAGTTGAGCTACCGTCGGCCGTCCCTACGTTACGAACCGACCACCCTATGGATACAAGATAAATCACGACCGAGAGAAAAGGGTCGTCGAATGCACCTGTACACGTGTGACCATGCGTGCGGATAAACGATAGATGGACCGGATTGCATAAGTGCAGGCGCGGATTGAACGCGACGAACGCGCGCATACATACACACGTGTACACGATCCCTTTCAATTTTTAAATCGTTAAATACATCTATGAGTTTTGCGGACACGAGGCGCTCCGTATAACACTCGAATCTAGCAGCCAACCTGATGAAGCATCGAGGCAAGCCGGAACACGCGCATCCAGGCGAACATCCCCGTCGATGGCGAACGACAGATCGCGTTCCTCGACGACGTGCTCGTGAAATTTTTACACTCTGTCGATGTCGATTGACGCCTCCCTCCTCCGCCACGATTCGGTGTCGCCGCGTCGATCGAGCAAACGTCGCTCTCCGACTTCCTTTCCTTTTGCTGCTGCTGCTGCTGTTGCGGCGAGTACTTCATCACTGTGTATCATTATTGGCAACAATTAATCAGGATTTCCCTTTCTAATTCGATTCAAACTGAGATACAACCATGGGAATTAAGCGCCCCACTTTTTCATGCAGAAACTCTACGCACGCGGAAACAACGCGCCGAACGAAGCATTTCACTTGTTTCAATCAAACGCGCTAATTATCCTCGCTCTTAAGCCGAAACTTATTTTCGTCGCGTGTTCATTATCTTTTAAAATGAAGTTTCGATCGTGTAACGAGATTGTAATTTTATGGAATTATTCGTTGAAATAAAAATCCACTTAAACTTCCGATCAATTCAATCCAGTCCAATGGGAGTGAATTATTTTCCATTCAATCGACTTAACGATCAACGATAATCCTATCAGATAATTAAATGGTAATTAAATGAAGTAAATTCGAATAATATGGATCATTTTTGACCAAGTTGTGTATTACTACGAGTTTTAATGAAAATGGATAATTTTATTCATTAATAAAGAAAATGCTTTTAAAGAAAAAAGTTCCTATAAGAGTTTATTATAATTATAAAAATATGGTTTAAATATATAATTCTGAAGCTAATTTATGATAAAAAACGCGAAGCTCGAAGATAAACTAACGATTTTATGAGCGCAAAATGTAACTAGTATGGTTAAGTAATGAGATTTTCCGTATGTCACTGCACTACTTCTTTTCTCACGGCTAACGGTGAAATTCCTTTCACTGACAAATCCTCTTTTGTTTAAGAAAGCTGTTTTACGCAACGGAGAGAGCGTTACGACCATACGAATGAGTTGTATATGTGAAAACGAAAGCATTATTAAATTTCCTATTTGTCTTACATCACGAAAAAATATTCGGTTTCTTCAAAATCTCATTGCTTTTTTACGCAAATGTCATATTAACCTTGACTATGTTTATTCGCGTTAAACTCTCATTCGGTCATGGTCAAAGATCTATTATGTGTGCATTGCGAAATGCGCTGATAATAATTGAACGGATATGTTCAAATTTCAAATATTCAATAAATGAGATAACGTGAATATAGGGAAAATAAAGTGAAAAAAAAAACAAGCTAGATATACAATATAAACAATAATCGTTATTAAATATAAAAAAAAAAGTTCTATTACAACTTTTCTCTGTTATGATATACTTATTTTATCTTTTTTATTTTTATAATTATGTGTATTACAAATTTCTTTCTACATAAATCAAATATATAATCTATATAATATATAATATTTCTAAATGTAAAATATCATTAATGCATCTATAAATGTATGTGTGTGTGTGTAATATATGTATAATCAATGAATGATTAAGTAAAAAAAAATTTTTGTAAGTTTATCAGTATCCATGTTTCGAGGACTTTTTCCAAGATCCTACCAGTAGGTGTATAGTGGGCGTTTCAAATGTATTCTGCTTTTAGTAAAGCGCACGCGCCTCTTTCGGTCAGCTGATTCCCTAGACCTACTTTTTGCCCGATGATGCAGGCTACAAATAGATATAGTCACGAATACTCGTGTGTGTAAATGGATATGTGTATAAGTACTTCTTGTTCTGTTGTATATGTATATATACCTATATACTTTAGGAAACATGTATGCCCTAAATCATGCTCTTTACTTGAGGCCATTCTCAGACATTTGAAAAACTAAAAGTATAAAATGCGCTTTGTTCTATGATCGTAAAATTTCTTGAACATCACGTCAAATTTCTATTAAATATTAAAATTTATTACAAATTATGATCATTTAATTGAATAAAAATAATTTGTGATTATAATTGATAAATAAACAAATAAAGAAAGAAACATTTATTAAATAAAAAAATTAAAATACAATTAGCTTTAAATAAATAAAATTTTTATCGATAACATGTTCAACGTATCATTTTTAATTATATTATTTATATGCATAAACTACAATATTCTTCTATTAATAATAAAATTATATGGATAGTATATAGAAATGATATGTTTGATCAAATCAAGATAGATTTTCATCACGGTATTCGAAAAAAACCGTTACACGAATGAATAAATCGTTTTCGAAACTTGCTGTGAACAAATCACGCAATGGTTACAGCACTATTGTTTTTCTAAAGAGTAGACAAATATTTTAATATATGTAAAACTTGGAAACAAAATTCTATAAAATGATAAGTATAAAAATACATATTAAGATTTTTCTGCAATGC